ATTAACTAAATAGTATATGTAGTTAGTATAAAGTTTAAGTTAGTCGTCGTCGTAGTAGTTAGTTAGTTAAGTTAGTACGTACTACTATACGTAACTACACTATATATATATATATATATATATATATATATATATATATATAGGGGAATGATTTCATGTAACGGTTGTATAGTACAATGCAACCATATTCAAAAACTATGTTAGAGACATTTGTTTGATACGAATTTTTAAATATACACTCTTTTCATTCTGTTGAACATCACAAATTTTTTTTTTTTGAAAAAATACTCTAGAAAGCTTTCATTATAGTCCAATTAATATAAGCCATCCATTTTATTGAGATGGTTAGATATAAGCCTCAGAAGCATTTTTTTATTCCCAAAGTTTTTATATAGCGTTATCATCATTAGATTAATAATGCTAAAAAAAGAAAAAATTGATTTTGAATTTGTTAAGGCCTAGATATTGAAATTCACCAAATAGATGTTCGAGATTTATTATTAGATGGTTACTAATTTTGACCATATCTAGGGTGCAAATTGACTTTTTTTTTTTTCGTAAGATTGATTATGAGGATGAAGAAAATGTGTGTACAAAATTTGGGGCCATACAAATGCCAAAAATATGGTTTTCTAGAGGTGTGGTTGAGTTATACTACAATACAACCGTTGTATTGGATCATTTATATATGAATAATGATCTTATGAGACCCTCCCATACCCATGTATGTAGGACCCCAAAGGATCACCATTAAATTTGACACAGATCTCTAGAAAAGTTGAGTCTCAAGCCCATGTGATAACTTTTCTGTGATAACTTTTCTAGAGATCTGTACCAAATTTAATGGTGATCATTTGGGGTCCTACACACATGGGTGTGGAGGGTCTCATAGGATCACTACTCTTTATATATATATATATATATATAGTATTCATTATTTATTTTTGCTATATTTTTTTAAGTTGGTTTCCAAGTTAAAATGGTTACATCCCCAAAATTTGGGATCCTAAAAGTACTCCTATATAGAGTTTTATCTAAGGAGGTGTCCTCTAAGGGGCGCATATAACCTTTTGGCACTAATTCTAAGTGAGCAATTTGTACAAATTTATTTTTGCATGTAATATATATGCCAACAAATGTGTGCACAATATATCAATTGTTAGTAAATATTGATGGAGCGCGAGACCAATCTGAGATTAGAGAAGAGATGTCGTGCGGTTGGTGATCACAGAGCCCGGATTTTTCTTGCCCTTTTCAGAGAGTAGAGGAGTTATTTTTTGTTACAGATTAAGTTCGATATGTCTTTCTTCTTGCTACTTTCTTCCTCTATCTGGCTTCTCGCTTTATAGAGAGAAGAAACAAGGGCTTAACAGTTATTTTTCCAACTGGTTTCTGAAAAAGGGTATTCCCTAATCTTAAGGATATTCATCCAACATTCATATGAATGTTGGACCATATTATGGATAATTACAATGCCCACAATTGTAGGCCTCATAGCCATATGTGTATTCACCAACGCATATAGCATGCTCCCATGGGAGCATAGTGTACAATTACTTCCTTGAGCAAGGTACTCAGAAGGACTTTACTGATATATATACTTTTGGATCCACTTAAGAATCAGCATGGTTATCTGAAAGAATTAGTTTACTTAGATCTGATTGTCTATTCAATCTTACACATGTGGAATGTATTTATTGGATCCACTTAAGAATCACCATATGGTTATCTAAAACAATTGGATTACTTAGATCTGATTGTCTATTCAATCTTACACATGTGGAATGCATTTATTGGATCCACTTAAGAATCACCATATGGTTATCTAAAACAATTGGATTACTTAGATCTGATTGTCTATTCAATCTTACACATGTCGAGTGTAAATATTCTTTTTTTTTTTCAAGATATTCCCAACGTTTGTGGTCCAAAGAGTACTCCTAGATTGCATTTTACCGAGAGGCGCGAATCGAAGAAATGTTCTTGCAAGACCACACAATCTTTTGACCATATTTGTACTATGCACAATCAAAATAAAGAGTATAGTGATGGTCTAGTGCACCTAATATCTATGGTGTTTTTTAAGGCATTATCCTTACTACTAGGAAAAGTAATATGAAAATAAATATCATGTATCGTACTATTCAAGTATCTGAAAAGGGAGTAGATATAGTGGTGGCCAGATATGTATGCAACTTGCACAAAAGAGAGGGCCAAATGCATTAGAAGTTTCTGCCCACAAAAACCCTAATTATGAGGTCAGGATTGAGCCTTTTGTCTTTGCTTCTTGAGGCTGCATACATTGGAACTGCCTTTTGATTTATGGAAATCCAAGCCTTATCAACCCTTTAGTAGGTGAGACCCCCTATAGTGCCTTCCTATAGGACCACTTTCTTTTTCTTTGAATAAAAACACACTCAGTCCCTTGCACGTGCCGTGGCCTTCATTTTTATCAGAAATGCAGCCAGTAGGACCTACATTTTTATTTATTTTTACTCTTGTTTATGTAAAGGATAAGGAATGGCCTAAAGGAGACATCTCGGCCATTCATCTACTTCTTGGACGGCATCGAAGTTTGAGTAGCATGCGACTTGCGGGTCGCGGAGTGTGCCGAACACCTACACAAACGTGTTGTGTTTGGTATAACTTAGGGGCAGCAAGGAGACAATCAAAGGTCCTATGGAATGTGATTTTTTTGGGTAGTCTATCAGAAAACTGAAAATAGGGAAACTTATCAAAATACACTTAAAAGTTGCCCCTCTTCAACATCTACTCTAGGTATGATTTGATATATTTCAAAAAAATCATGTTAATGTGCCATTTTAGGGCTATTTGAAATTTGATTAAAAGAAGGGTGCAGTTGGCATACGGATGCATCTGTAGCTGTAGAGGTTAGATGCACCTTCAAATTTTATCATGAAATATAATTTTGGTGTAAAATGTTCTTATTATTATCTTAAAATCTAATTTTTATATCTAATTATAAAATTTTAAATTTCAAAAATGGTTAAAATCAAGTAGATCTATAAACATATGAAAATCTTGAAAAATCTTTTTATTTTTCATGGTCATACATCTCGATGTCGAGATAATCAATCAAAGGGTTTTTCAACATTAAAACTACCTTTTCCGATGGATTTTTGAGGTGCATCCGTAGCTCCACATTATAAGGTTGCAAACTTATATAAACTTTTTCCTTAAAAGAATAATATTCGATAAAAAATTATTGGTAAGATGTTAACCAATTCCAACCTTAGGTGTAGTTTAATCAATTTCCTGTAAAAATATCTTTCTGTAGGATCATCATCGTTTTTTTCCAATTAATTGGGATAAGTTACAAAAATATCTTTTTATAGGATGAAGATGGTAATATGTATACCAATAGAAAAAAAATATACATTCTATCATCGTCGTTAAAACCTTTTTTCAACGAATTGAGGTCAACTAAATTGTACATCATATGATAGTTTACAATGAGAGAGAGAGAGAGGAGATTCTTTCGGGCTAGTCCTTGGATATTGTATCCGAGTTTTGAATTGACCAATAACAACATACTTTTTGGATTGACAAATGATTATAATGGCTCCAAACAGGGATCATGAAACCCGGATTTCTTCGTGATTTATAAAGCTTGAATTGAATTTTCCTAAGATGCAAACACCCATTTAGTGGTTAGGGCATCAGGATTATATTATTGTTCGTTAATATCCAATGTTTAAATCCAACTTATCAATTGGCAATTTCTGACGTGCACTCGAATTGGGATATATGTACCATACTGTACATCATGGCACATGAATCATCAACCATCATTATCAAGAGCAAAACATTAGTTGTCAATCTTTCCCCTACTCTTCTACCGAATCTGGAAGTCAAGGCCGATGGCACATGTAACCAAATGAATTAGTACGCTACATGTAGCATAGCCCACAAACACTTCCCAAAATGACCAATAGGCTCGCCGGAGACTTCGAGAAGTCAAGGCTGAATCCATCATTCTGTAGAAAAACAGCAAAACCATTGTCGTGGTGTGCCGCAAACATGTCGGTGTCGCCGAAAATGTGCACCACATGTGCCACATGACATTCATAAATCATGGCTATTTTTGGAAGGATGGAGTTTTTATAAGCCCAGGCTTTATGAAAACAAAACAAAGCCTCACCTCAAATCCTTGTCTAGAAAGCATTTTCACCAACAAAAATATCTATAAGGGCTCTAAAATCAATTTTCAATACCGACAATAAATTTTGAAACTAAAAAAATGGTATATATTTTTAGGGTGAAATTGACAATCTATATAATTTGTTGTAATATAAACTATTTTTGACGTTTGAAATCTTAATTTTTTTTTCACAACCACAATGTTCGTAATTGAATTGCAATTTTCGATGAGTTATAAGGTGAGGCTTAGGGCTGCAGCCCTATCAAACCATTTTCATTTTTTGAACAGGTATGTGTGAGTGGCTAAGCCAAGTTGCTAATATTTTAAGCCTCTACAAATCAGCCATTAAAATGTAATTTAAATCACCTCATATGAGGCTCTTTAAAGCCTTTTCTCCTTGTAGTATCTCATTCAAAAACGCCCACTGCATCACCCCTAACGTCACCCTTATGAGCCCTTTAGACAACTTGCCAAACCACCTCTTTATAGAACTAGGTGAAAAAACAACATTGTGAAGTAGAAACCGAGTCCCCAAAAACAAAGACAAAATAAATAAAGTAACAAAAATTGATCACTCAAAATGTAGTAAAGAATAAAAATGGTCCAGGATTGAGCCATTCAATGGTCTTCAAGTTGAAGAAATCTCATGCTCATGAGCTTCTTTGTCCTCCTCAACCCACTTGAAGGTCCATCAAGACTCGGCCGGAGTCTTCGAGATTGGTCGGAAACGAGCTGGAGTTTCGAACTTTGGCCTCAAAAGCTAGGCTGAGAATCTCAAAAACAACCGGAAGTGAGAAATGCATACAGCGTAATTCGATTGGAAAATCGAAGAGCCATAACCGGAATTCGTCACTTCGACGTCTAATGGCGGCTGGAAAACTCGAAGACATCTAGAAATAAGTTGGAATTGTCGAACACTTTCCACATAATTGAAGAACTCAAAAGAGAATTGAGGAAAGCAGACACACATCAAAGTCTGGTCAACTACCAATTGCTGCAAAACTCGGAAACGAAAAAGAAAAACAAGTAGCAATTCAGGGTGAGTTTTAAGGATTCGAAAAGTGGGTGGATTTCCTCTCTTTTCCTTCCCTTTTTGACTGTTTTTTACAGGTCATGTGGCCAAGATTTGCAGCAAGTAAGCCTCCTAGAAGAGCATATCGAAACCATGGGTTTGTCTCAGATCAATTGGAAGGTGAGGCCGATACTGCTGGTAGAAGTCCCGGGCTCTCGAGGATGGTTTCTGAAACGATACGGCGAGATGACATCTTCAAAGAGAAATACAGGTATGGTGAATAAATTGGTTATCTTCTTAAACCATTTTTTGAGAATGATAAGACAATGACTCTGATTTATCATATGCCAATGTCAATTTTGTAAACAGAATGAAATATTTTTTGGGTTTTCGACAACTAAAAAATGGTCATTGTCATTTTATTTACTTCTTTATTTTTTTTTGAAGGATTTTTGTGAGCACATGGAATGCAGGAGGTGTAGCTCCACCTGAGGATCTAAGCCTGGAGGATTGGTTAGACACAAGCCACAATCCTTGTGATATTTATGTCTTGGGGTAATAATACAATTTTCATAATTGTTTTTATTTTGATTCCTTATATTGATTTGTGGGTCATATAAATCAATAATTGAAGAAAATAGTCATTTATTATTTATTTATTATATGGTGTATATTGAACTTGTGGTCTTTAGGACTCAACAGAGGTCCCCTTGCTCTTCTGAAACGGCAATTTCTCTGCTTGTGAATCACATTTTTCCTCTTAGTTTCCTAAAATACCCTTTTCCTTGATATAATATATCTATCCCTATGGTATTTGAAGATTCTGAAGAAGTAAAATGACAAAAATGGCCTTCTCTTATGATGAGACGAAATTTCAGATAGCCGGCAAATTTCGTTTTTTTTTATATAAAAGAAGCTCAATTTTAGATTTTTTTTTCCCTAATTTATAACCCCTAGCAAAAGCAAGGTCTCACATAATATCGAGAAAAGTTCCAATTTTGGGAACATTTCGGCACCATTTCCGAAATCTTTCAAGGGAAAAGAGCATATAGGATGACACTTTAAATTTTAGAATTAATGTGCACCTAAAAAATCTATGGGAAAAAGCTATTTTGACGTTGCAAAACCTCTAAATGATCATTTAGATACCGAGATGTATGGATATGAAAAAGAATAAAAAAAATTTCAAATCTTAAAAATAGTGTATCATGCAATAAAATATTGGGACCGTTCATTTTCTCTAGCGATCCTAATAAAGTTTTGATTTTAAAAGTAGATCTCATGGTAAAAGTTTGGATGTATCTTTTGATGGTTTAAGGTTGTAACTTATCAAAACCCACCCGTAAAACCTAAAAGAAAGGGGTATTCCTCTTATTTTAAACAGCCACTATTTATCTAAGAGCAAACCTTTATATAAGGTTGCAACTTTAAAATGTAGAATTAAGGTGTAAAAAGCTATTTTTAAGTTGAAAAACCTTTTAAATGATCATCGAGATGTATGAATATGAAAAGAAAAAAAAATTTCTGAGTTTCAAAAATGGTACATCTTGCCTCACATCTATTTTCACGATTTTTATATTTACAGATTTACTTTATTTGAATTATTTTTAGAGTTTAAAACTTTATAATTAGAGATGAAAATGGATTCTTATACTATCATGAGAGTTTTTTACACCGGAATTACATATTTTGGAGGTGCGTGTTTAATTTAATTGTTTAAGGTTTTTTTTTTTAGGTTTCAAGAGATCGTGCCATTAAACGCAGGCAACGTTTTCGGCCCCGAAAACGTTAGGGTTTCATCAAAATGGAACGCCCTGATTCGAGCGTCTCTCAACAAAATTCCGTCCATAGATGTCGCCGGAAAATTACCGGAAAAGGAAAAACCCGGCGAGAAACAGAAGGTCTATCCAGTGAAGGACCAAGATTCCGGCTTGTTTTCCGCCGGAAAAGTCGACGGAAAACGGCCAGAATTTCAGTGCGTGGTGAGCAAACAGATGGTGGGGATTTTCATAACGGTTTGGGTGAGGAGCGATCTCAGGCGACACGTGAGGAATGCTAGCGTTTCTTGTGTTGGGTGTGGGATCATGGGCATTTTCGGAAATAAGGTGAAAAAAATATGAGGGTTCTCTTTGTTTTTCACGCGTGAACACACGTTCAGCAACCATCCTTATAGAAAAATGACCAAAATAGCCTCTATTTGTTTTCCAAATGACTATGATACCCAAACAAGTATGTATATGCAGACAAACATGTAAAAGCATATTAAAGTTCAGAAAAAATAAGTAAAAGAACATTTTATTTTTGGTATAAAAAGGTCACAATCATTTTGTCTATCAGATTCAAATCAGGTAGTTATAAGAGTGTCACTAACTAATCTCCAAGTTCGGAAAAAGAATTTTGACCTTTGTGACACAACCCAAACCATTCAATTTAACATCTAGTGGCCATGAATAGTTATGACCTCCTTGCTCCAAATATAAATAGTATCATAATATACAATCCTTAAAGTTTAACATAAAAATTTGACACAAAAACATATTAAAGTTTACTATAAAAATTTGATATTATGACTTGTTTCTTATAAATATTTATTTTTCTTCTTTTTTTTTTGTTTTAGGGCTCGGTGTCAGTTCGATTCCACTTGCACCAAACAAGCTTTTGCTTTGTGTGCACTCATCTGGCATCAGGGGGCAAAGAGGGGGATGAGATTCACAGGAACTCAGATGCATCAGAGATACTTAGTAGAACAAGCTTCACACCAAGCTCCAATCCAAATTTGCCAAAGAAAATATTGGAACATGAGTAAGTAACTGTTCAGTCATAGAGTAAAGGTTAAATTCAAACCAATTTAAGGAGTAAATCAGGTATTCAAATCATCTAATTTATCAACAAAATAGGTACATTTTGAAAATGATATTACTCGGGTAGTGCTTTCCTAGAGAATCCCAAAGTGCTCATCTTCGAGGTTTGGAACCCTAAACAAGTCACAATATTTTCCTAGTTTGGTAATTTAAGTTACTCAAATCAAATAACCTAATTATTCATGCTTGTTCTAAATTTCAAACTAGAAATTATTTATCAAGAAATATTATTCCCAGTTTGGAATTGCGATCAAGCAAAGGTTATTTACACTTACTTGGCTTGGGGGACATAAGTGGGGCCAAATTTTCAAAATTGTCTGTTTGCTCTCGGTTCTAACTCTTAAACACAATTTTGTGGTGTTCTTGGTTCAGACTCAATGAATGTTAAATATAATTAATTATGATTAAAAAGTGATTATTGAATTGAAACTTTAACAACCCCCATTCCGAGGTTTCAAAGTTTGATTAAGCAATCAATTATGGGTTAATAAACAAACCCACCTCAAAATCATGTAGTGGCCTCAATAATTAGGTTTGCTAGTTATTAAATGAAATCTTCAACTCCCTCAAGAAACATTATTTGCTTCTTTTTTTTACACATTAAAAAAAAACAGGAAAAAGATTCCCCAATGAATATTCCTTGAGGTGCTTAAATTCTATGTACTTTATACATTTTAAAATGGCCTAAAGTGACACACCTGAAAATCTTACATGATGCCATTTTCTGGCAGCCGGATAGTATGGCTTGGCGACCTGAATTACAGAATATCGCTGACGGATTCGGAAACCCGTTTACTAGTGGAGAGAGGAGATTGGAAGAGCCTACATGAAAATGATCAGGTATCAATTTCTAATTTATCCTCCTCATTTTTGTGGTGGCCGGAATGTTTTGGCCGATATTTTGAGCTGAAATTTGGTGAGATTTAGAAGCATGATGTTTAGAAGTGTGATGTGTATTTGTTTTCTTTGTCTTGTGAAGCTGAGAGTGGAGATGGGGGAAGGGAGAGTGTTTGAAGGTTGGAAAGAAGGGAGGATAGATTTTGCTCCAACATACAAATATTACCCATTTTCTGATAGTTATTTTGGATCCAATAGTAAAATGGGGGAGAAGAGGAGGGCTCCTGCATGGTAAGCTTGCCTTTCTAATGATCCATGATAGTGTTGCTTTAATTATGTAGGGAATTTTTATATAGATCTTGGATCCAAATTTATAGATATCCCTGACCTACATTATGATGATCATGAATATAAAAAATAAAATAAAATATTTAAATTTTTTTTTCTTTTTTTTTCTTTTTTTCATATCTATTGTATAGGAATCTTTAGCCATTGAGTTTTCTATAAAAAAATAAAAATAAAAAAATAAAAAAAATGAATCATCCCATAAACAAGATATTTTATAACAATAGATGAAATGCCATTATGAAGAAAAAACATCATTAAAGGTTACAAGTAATATGTTGGAACATAGATAAAATGCCGAGGCTTGGATTGGGGCTCAATAGCGTCCCGAGCCCGAGTTACCTGGTCTAGCTCAGGTGGGTCCTGAGTCAGAACAGTGATTTTTTTGACAAAGAAATTTAGAAAGAGGGGAGACTTGGATGTATTATGACGTTTTTGCTCTCGAATCATTGGTGTCCCAATCTATTCGGCCGAGTCTCGAGTCAAATCAAAGATTTTTTTTAAATTGGATTGGAATCATCTCACATTTTGCCATAATAATAATGATCACGTTGATGAATTTTACTTAGTAATACCCCCATTTAAAATGAATATTTGTGAATTTTTTGGAATGTTTTTTATCCATAGATAATCGACCAAAATTATTGAGATATTGCTTACATGATGGTGATGATTTCTTTTCCATAGATTTTAGGGTAAAGCTTTCATAGGCTAAGCTTCTCATTATGTGCCTGGCTTGTAAAAGAGCATAAGCCTTCTAGTGTGTGTATTACAGGTGTGACAGAATTCTACGGTATGGAGAGGGGCTCGAGCAGAAATGTTATGAGAGAGGAGAGTCAAGGCTCTCTGATCATCGACCTGTGCGAGCAACTTTCATGGCTGATGTCGAAGTTTCTGGTGGCCGGAAAGCCTTGGAAAGCTTGTTTCTCTCTCTGAGATATGAAAGAGTCCCAAGCATGTAGAAGCAAGCAAAAAGAGAGGGAAGAGGAACCATACTGACCTGTTGGCTAGAGGTTTTTTTTACACTCTAGAACGAGGTTTTTATTCTGTGGCGTTTTATTTTTGTGTGTTGAGAGGCCTAAATCAAGTGAAGAGGGTGGGCTTTGTGTGTGGTGTTTTTGATATTTGAAAGGGGTGAGCTATTCTTCTATGCGTCTCTTGTAATGGGGATTTGTACAGCAAACATAGCTCCCCCGTAAGAAACTCCTTCGAGACTATTTTAAGTGTATATTTTGATTTGATTTATAAACGGCTATTGCACCAAGTCGAAATAATTCAATTTTAACTGGTTTACTCTCTCTCTCTCCAAGGGGCGCATGCTTAGCTTGGTTGAGATCGGGCTGGTTTTCTTCCTCATCATCATCATAGTTTTTTTTCCAATTAATTGGAGTCAGCTACACTAATCTTAGTCTACCATTTTGTTTTATTAAGAGTCATACCTTCAATGAAGTCATAAGTCTTCATTTCTGCTCTCACTAGTGGTCCTAATAAAAAATAAAACATAAGGAAATGGTTCATCTGCCCCCATGAAAAGGCTCATCTGCCCCCATGAAAAAATATTAACAAAAAAAAGATTCTTGAACAAGAGATATAATTGTGTGTGCTATTAGATCCATGTGCTCAAAATCATTTCCATTTTTGAAGTTTTACATTAGTGTTTTCAAGACCATCCCCAAAACTTAAGGTCAAATAAATCCCATTTTAACCAAAATTTGGATTTGGCTTAGCCAATTATGTTTATGTGTATGTGCATGTCTGCGTGTGTTTTTTAATGAAGTTATGCATAAAATTCGCATGAAGTTAACTAGTAATGGATCCCCATTATTAAAAGGACCCGGTTTCTATGCAGCCAAGCCCGCATATGCAGAAATGCGAACCTCTTAATAAAACTATTTTTTAGATGGATTTTAAGACTTAATTTTTAAAGACATGTAATCTCTAACATGGATATCATGAATATGAATAAATAAATAAATTTTAAAAACTAAAAATAATAATTCTAATAAAAAACATTTGACCGTTAGTTTCTATTGTTTTTAGATAGAACACCTACTTGCATCCATCTTAAGCATCCATCTTTAAGATGGATGCTTTACACTTTCAGTAGTCCGGCCCGCATGAAACAATTTTCCTAATCAAAATTCAATACTTGTAATATAAAACATACACACAAACAACAAAAGACATACGCAGGGCTTGGAATATTCTTTTCAAAAAACTACAACGAAACCCATTCTACCACAGGCTTCTAATAATATGGTCAAATTTGGTTGCGTGTGGCTACGTTTACTATAAAATAAAAAGAACAAGAATAGAGAAATACCTAAGACAAAAAGACAAAATCAAAGAAATTAAATTTTACTAAATGAGGAAACAAACAAAAGAAAACAAAAAAAAAACACATTTATTATGTTTAACATAAAATAAAAGAATAAGAAAAGAAAAATGGATGAGAGAAAATACAAAATGAAAAAAAAAATCATATTTTCTATATGAGGAAACAAGCAAAAGAGAACAAAGCATACTCCATTTAAGGTATGGGCCAATGAATTTTGATTCCTATGGAGCAATGGTCCCCATCAAGGTCGTATTGTATATTGACCCTAGGGTCCGACAAGAGGCAAAATGGTTGAATGCCTTGTGCATGGGATGTGTTTAAGGGCCGCTCCCTTGTCTCTAGGACCAACTAGTTTTAGGTCAACTTTCCTGTCCCTTGTCAATTTGATTTACACTTCGCTTAAAATATGAGGCCTTTTCCATTCCATAATCTATAACCGCACCACTATGACTTATTCTATTTGGCTCGAATGGCATTAAACTAGTAAAATCTTTTGAAATTTCAAGTCCTTGTCAATTATAATTGAGACTGAGAGAGCATGGGAAAATAGTACATAACAATGAGACCATTTATCTTTGGTATATGGTGATCAAAATGAATCTTGACTAGTGTTCAAAAAATCGAACCGGGTAATCGGCAAATTAGTTAGTTCAACAGTTCTACTAACCTAACCGGGCAGGTTCCTGCAGGTCCAAAAAGTATTAAAAATGTAAAAATATAAATAAACAAATAAATGAAAGTACATTTAAAACATGATTAAGCAAAGCACATCCAAATGGATTTGAAAAGTAGTTGAAAAAATGGTTTGTGCCTGAGGGCATTTCCAAAATTTTCCAAAGAAGATGGAAACATGTTAAAATAAGTATTTATGGCCAAAACACTTTCGAATATTTTCCAAAATGATAAAAAAATTCAAAAACACATTACAGACAATTCCCTTATTTTTTGAGATTATATATATATTGAATTTTTTTAAAATACTTGGCCAGACCACCAAAACCGAATTGATCAGTGCTCGGTGCCAGTTTGACCGGTTGATTCCGAGTTGGACTCGCCGAGTTTTTGAACACTGATCTTGACCATTGGATGGGAAATTAGATGGCCGCATTTTCTTCCATTGACCAAGATCAAACTTCAAAAAAAAATTTATTGAACTTTATGACACATCCAAGCTATCAGATTTCACATCGGATAGTTGTAAATAATTGTGACGTCCTTATGTCAATCTCATTGTATACAATCTCATAATATATTCCTCTTTCATTGAAGTGTTTTATCTAGATCAGTTGTACTTCTTTTTTATGATTGTATTAGTAGATGTTGGTGTGCAAGGGTGAAAAATCTTTGTTGCACATTTAACTATTGTAAAATAATATTTTATAAGAAATTTGTGCCGGATGAGGGGGAGGCCATAGATCTTGAGGGCTTGGCGGAGACCACAAGGAAATCTCTCTCTCTCTCTCTCTCTCTCTCATGGTCTATTTCTTGTGGACATTGACTTCATAAATAAACATGTTATTTACGAGTGGACACATAAGTTGGTGCTTCATGACGACATCAGATATTACCTTTGTATCCAAAAGGGCAAAATAGACTAAACTCTTATAAAATCATTGAGCGGGTTAAAAGATCTCAATTAGTGTTTATCATTTAAATTTTTATTTTATTCATGCATCTCTTCAAAAATAAAAAATTCTCAAATTACACATATGTTCAGGTTTGAGAACCTTGAATAAGCAAGGAGCATTTCACTAATTTTACCCATTTGCGAGGTCCCAACCAAATGACAAGAGTACTTATGTTGGTTCAAGGTAGGTCAAATTACTGAAATTCCCCAATTTGTTCACAATACCCAATTTTGAACAATGGTAATTTGACTAGTTTTTAAAATACATTTTAAAAAAATATTAAGTAAAATGAAAATTTAAAAGTAAATGTTCTAATATTAATCGCGATCTTTTAACCCCTTCATAATTATACAAGAGGCCTTGATTAGGGCCAGCAGGCCTAGGCTTGGGCTAGGCGAACCCCAACCCTAACCCAGCTATAGCCCCTAGAGGGCCAGTCCCAACTGAGCCCTGCCCAAAAGAGGGAGACACGTTGTGTCTAATACACTCAAAGAATAGAAAGGAAAAAAATAAATAAAAAGAGGGAGTGGGCCAAAGTGGCCCTATGTGTACCCAGCTCAAGCCAAGCCCAGTCCACGGTCCATATTTTCTGGTCCATGCTCTAGCTTTGTAGGCCCGAATTTCCTGGCCCATTCCCAGCCCTAGATTTGACATTCCAATGATACTCTCCTTGTGGTTTCTACCGAAGTGAAGTGCACTTCTAGGCGACGTATAAAAACTGGTGGTTCAGTTTTTGCCCTTTTTCTTTTCTTATTATTCTTTTCTACACTTTTTCCACATAACTGTTTATGGTTTTTGGTTTGAAGACACTCTTTTCATTGAAGCTTTAATTCAGTGGTGTCAAATTCTTTTTGTTTAGGCCTTCAGATTTTAGGCCTAAACACGAAGATTTTAAGCCTAGACATAAAGCGAAGTGAAGCCTGGTGCTGCCACTTCGATCATATTTGGTTCGTGCGGCTTCGGTCAAATTCGGATATGCTTTGGGCTAATTGAGTTCAAGCTTCAGCCTCTTAGGCCTAAGCAAAGAAATATTTAAAAAAAATTTATTTTTTATTTTTTTGAAATTTTTATATTTTATTATATTTATATATATTTATTTATAAATATCTAACTAATTTCTATTTTAAAAAAAAAAATCCAAAATCTTGCCCAAATAAGCCAAAGCATCAAAATACTTGATTTTTCTCACCAAACGGAAGAAGACACTGAAGTGAATCTGACAACATTGCTTTAACTATGCCGTATGGATTTACTAACATTAATTTGAAGATTTTTTCCAAAAAAAAAGTTTACAATGTCTTCTATATTTTTCTATTTTTACTCGTAATATTATCCAAGGTTAGCCATTTGAGAGTTATCTAGATAACCACGTCATTGATTTTCTCTCAAATGATCAGCTCTTCCTTTTCAAATTATCAATGGAAAAATAAGTGTCCCCACCGGATGAGGTATATGATGATATGTTAAACTATTGGTTGCAAACATAGTAATATTCTTATAGAGGGAGCTTTTTATATGACCCCCCCACCCACATATATAAAATATGTGACGCCTGGTCTCACTCATCAGATCTTAGTAGATGGCTGAGATGGCTTGAGTCACAATGTCACAAGCTAGCTTGTAACCATCATATCTTGATTGGACTATTTGTAGTTGTTTATTTTTTTTTATTCTACAAACAATTTTGAAACAAAATTTGGAGCATGCATAGATCTGTAAGGGGAGCACATGATAAAAAAAATAAAAATAAAATATTTCCTATAATGGAATGTTACCAAAATATCTCTGAAATTTGTAGGGGCATTTTGGTCATTTATTTTTATAGAAATTTTTTTTCCTAGATTTGCCCTAATTTTATGATGGGGCACCCAAAATTTCATCCAAAAATGTTTTGTAGGAAAAAATATGAAAAATAAAATAGTGTTTGGGGCGACATTGGCGTATGAAGAAATCAGAGCCATTTAATTCAAATCGAACGGCTAAGAAGTGGGGTCACATATAACTTATCTGTTATTGGCGCCACATAAAAACATTTACCATTCTTATAAGCCTTATCAGTGTTTTAAAAATCACCAATCTGATTGAGGTCAAGGGGTTGGTGACTCAGATTGGAAACCTTAGAATTTCCTTTGTCCACTAGTTGATGACAACAATACTATCATCACTATTATTATTGTTATTATTATTGAAGCGGATGAATTGGATAAACGGAGGTTGAACCATGACGTGCCGTTGGTAAAAGCTTTCTTATTTTGATTGTTCTTTGGTGATATTTTATGTTCATGTATCTTTTGCTAATTTAATA